TTTTTTTTGCATTTCTTCGCAAACGCACAAGTGATTTTGACGACCTCCTCACTACACAGTAAGCAACAACGAGGGAATTTCAATGGAATTACCAGTGGCAAACTTGATTAGTACCAACAACGCGCACTAAGTGGTTGACGCAGCCATGCATTTCCTTTTCTTTTTGCAGTCAATTATTGCGAATGCGCAGGGGCAGATCAGCGTATGCAGAAAATCCACCAAGAACCATAAAAATTAGCATGACTCTGATCAACACACATATTTCGAAAGTCAAGTCCTCGAAAGTAAATACTCTAGAGTTCTTGAGTCACAGTGTTCAGCTTCCTTTGGCAGAAGGGTTAAAGAAATGCGAAACGCTGATAAGTCGGAATGAATCTTCCCTGCTCCTCCATCATGTGTGGTATGCTCAATCCGACCTCACATCTTGTTGGAAAAAACCTTTATGATTCACAAGTGAAAAGTACTGCTTTTCAATTACTTCAACTTGAAATGAAGCCTAAAGCCAACAGAGAACGGATGGTATAGAAGTTGGCATCGGTTCTTGTCTTTTACACGATCGAAGGCAACGCTCCTAAATTCCAACGACCTAGGTCGGTAGCTTCAGGACTGGATAATATTAAAAATGCACATGTTGAGGAGACACCACTTTGGCTGTAATGCATTTTAATTTATATATCCAAAACAAAAAAAAAAAACCGACCTCTGCAATAACACTCAGAATACCCAGTGTACGCGTATACGTTGATGATCTATTACTTTCCGGGACTGCTTGCAATCTGTAAAGAAAAGCCCACCTGATTCGCCAGAAAAAGAAATCACCACGCTCGCCCCCACAATCGGTTTAAGGGCCCAATTTGTTAACTAACTGCTCCAATACGCTGAACGCAACTATGTAAACCCCTCGCAGCTGCATACTTCTAACTGCAGCCTGTTGAAATGTATGCGCGACATCCTTTGAAGGCCTGGCAAGTGGTCGTTTATTTTTCACGAGTACAGCTCACTGATACGCGACGTTCACCGCTTGTCAACAAGGTAAGCAACACCTCCATCTGATCGAATCTTACCTTCTCATCTCACCGCAGTAATACTTTATATATCTGATAGTACTTCCTATTTAAACATCGATACCCATCTTTTAAAATTTCGTTCCTTTTTATTTTATGAGTTGCATAAAACAAAAAGTGCCACGTGTGTGTGTGTATGTGTGTGCATGTGCGTGTGTGCGTGTGTGTGTGCATTTTATTCTGGACTGAATTTTCAATTCAGGAATAAAAAAATGTAGAAAGCTGAAATTTTAAGATGTTCGATACCCATGTGTGATATCGCAAATTTAAATTCAGCTTCCAGTTGCGCCTAAATCTCAAGTATAGATGTGTGAAAGTTTGGCACGAAAATCATTAACTTAAGAACCAAAAAAATTAGAAAGCTGAAATTCTAGGAGAATGCCTTACGCCCAAATGTAATCCAAATATTTCAAACTCTCCCTTGCGGTCATGTGAAAGCTTTGGCAGGAAAATCGGCAAACTCGTGAACCAGAGAAGCTAGGAAACTAAAATTTTAGAAAGGTGTTAAGTGCCCTTGTGCATCGTCAAAAATTTTAAGTTTAGCTTTTACCTAAGTCTAAGTTCCACGAATGTGTTAATGCTTCGGCTGGAAATTTTCTAGCTTTAGAGCCAGGCAAGATAGGAAGCTGAAATTTCAGGAGAGTATTTCTTACTCATGTGCTACTCTAAAAATTTTAGGAGCAGCTTTTGTGTGTGCCTCGGCCTCAGATATAGACACATGAAAGTTTTGATCTGCAAATGCTAAGTAGTAAAACACTGAACGCTTTTAACAGCAAACGTCCGCTGTACAGAAATACACAAAACGCACGATCGCACCAGATACCCTAGTGCGGGCCGCTATTTATTCTGCAAGCGCTTTCGCATCAACTCGAGGTCTCTGATGTTTCCTGGTGAAAAAATATCAAGACAAAGTAGGAAAAGCAAGCACAAAGATGAGGCCTGCAATCTAACCTTGTTAACAGCTTCTGCACAAATTCCTGGTTATGGATTGGTGCACTGTAGATAGGACCAGCCACATGTATCGACTGTTTACAATACAAACACTTCCCATCAGCGCCAAGCAAACCCACATCAAACGTTTTAGGGGTGAATTTAACGCTGTTTCCATTGACTATCTTTTTCACAAGTGGTTGCAAATGCAAAGAACTGCAACCTGTACAGGCAAAGACATGCGACACCTTCCTGAAATACGTCTATACGTCCCAAATGAAAGATTAATAAACAAACAAAATAACAGGAGCAGTTGAAGAATCAGTTAATTTTAAAATTTAGCAGAAACAAGAACGAACAAAATGTAGCTACCTAATAGGTGTTGACACTTTCAGATTCTACTAGTTCGTGCTAACACAGGCAATTAGCCGGGATATTTACTATGTAGCTACTCAAGGTCTGAGTAATCGTTTCCATTCTTGCAAGTACCATTTGTGATGTATAACATTTAAGCAAAAAAACAACGCATCCCACTAACGATCTCATGCCAATGCAACAGCTCACAAAATATGACTAATGGCTCGACTCTTATAGTAAAAAGTATTAAAACACTTCAAAACTAAAAAAGCTAGAAATCCAAGTTTTTTTTTTAGAAAAAATTCCTATTTTTTAAGTACGAAAAATGCACCTTATCAAAAATTTGCTTTCCTATCCTTTAGATTCCACTTTAATAACCGCTGGGCGATTAATTACAAGTTCGAGAAAAGGTTTCTTGCATCCTTCACCAAATCTTCTGACCCATATAAGCCCGAAAATTAAGCCCCGAACACAAATTCTGCTATACTTGTTTAGCCACTGGCTAGAAAATTACACGGAAGTGACAAAAGCTGAGCAAAGATGAGATCAATGTGAGAGGAAAGAAAGGCGCGCGGAATCCAAATTTCTTCACCATCAATAATAATTTCTGTATACGCGGCGCGCATTTTTAAGTTGATTTCATTAGCTATATTTTTCCAAGAACCGAAGGTGAGAGCTGCAAATTTAATGTAAGTTTCGCGTTCAAAATCCACGGGCGAATAACAGTAGGATGGGCCGATCTAAAACTATACAAACCATTGCGCGCAGTATGTCCAAATTTGCAGATGAGTGAAAGAAACAAAAATGCAGATTTCAGCTTTCTAGCTTCTCAAATCCCCGAGTGATGAACTTATCCGAGAAAAATTTTGGCGGTCCCGTACGCAAGTACCACGCTCACCCGGGGGGTGGCTTTGAGCTCCTTAACAGCCACTTGGACGGGGAACATCCCCTCATGATTTCAGCCCTCTAGCTTCTCAGATTCCCGAGTTATGAACTTGTCCGAAAAAATTTTAGCGGTTCCGTACGCGAGTATCACGCTTACCCGGAGGTTGGATTTGAACTCATTAATACTTACCTGAACGCAGAACATCCCCCTAAAATTTCAGCATTCTAGCTTCTCAGATGCCCGAGTTATGGACTTACCTGAAAAAAATTTTGGCGGGCTCGCACGCGAGTAATGGCGCCCATTTTGGGAATTGGGGCCTAAACGTTCATGTAGATTAAGTTCCCAAAGTTTCAGCCCTGTAGCTTTTGTAGGTCTTGAGATGAAAAATCGGTACAGACGCACACGCGGACGCACACACGGACACACACACACACACACACACACACACACACAGACAACCCCTCGTCAATATGCGTTTTCTGCATTGCATAGCTGCAAAAAACACATAAAAAAGCAGAAAAACCCATTTCACTGCCATCTGTGTTCTTCACTAACGTCAAATCCACATTTCTGTACTGTTCGATTAAAACTTTTATAATCCAGTGAATTTCCAATAAGCATATTTCTGGCTTCAGCGAATGCTTATATTTACCAAGTAGCGAACATTTAAGCCTTTACTTCACAACAGTGTTAGCCTCAGTCATATTTAGTTCATGCTAATTAGGCTCCCTTATGTTTTCCAAATGTGCTGTGCAGCAATTGCACAGTTTAAATGAGGAGCAGCTAAATGCACTTCAACTTACCACTCAGATCCGAGGACTAAAACACATATACAGAATACACTTGTAGCAGCAAAAAAACATATCAAAAAAGTATATCAAAAAATCAAGCTTACGTAACACTATCCTTCGCAATAAGGGCACTTGTATGCACTTTAACAAACACTCGCAAGTAATAATCAACGCTCACAGAAAGCAGCGGCTCAATATACCTTCCGTAGCAATTCGCATGCGCATCAATGGCTTTTAACAACACACGAATTGCCTGCAGGAAATAAATTTAGCATCTTAATATAAATTTAGCATCTTAATATTCAGAAATCAAACAGCCTACCTAAATACACTATAAATCCAGAATCATCGAGGAATTTGCCACTGCATTAAGCAACCTTTAACAAAAGCTTTAATGCAGAATCTTTCAAGCTAAATGTATTCATGCGTTATTAACGCACAGCAAATCTGAATTCACCTGCGGCTGCCCTAAATAACCGAACGAAAAAAAAAATCAAAGAATAAGCTACCACAGTGCTGTCGTTTTCAACGGTTACTGACAATTTTGTGTGTTTTAATTTAAAAAGGATGAGGTCACAATAGAAAGACACACAAATCAAATGCGACTTGTCAAGCAAAATAACACCCTTTTCTTACTTACTGTTCTTTAATCCTGCCTTGTTAGAAGCCAATGGACAACCTTACAGACTGCGTCTTTCTGAATAAACTTCAAGTTTCTACATAGAATTTTGCAAGTCATCCCTTTTTTGCGTTTTTCATTTTACCAATGTAAGAAAAAATTACAAATTCGTGGCAACTTTTATGACGTAAACCAACGGAAGCATATTTGTTATAACACGATTCAGGAGTATTTCCACACAAAACAGCCATATCTGTGCAAGTGACCATCAAAATACCTGTAAAATAGCTTTGTTGTTTTAGTTCATCTTAGAAAATCCTTATTCTGTTTATGCACTCTTTTCATTCAGTTAGAATGAAACAAGAATGTTGTATACGAGATAAGTGATACTACGTGGTTAAAGCTAAACTTTAACAGAGCGTTTCCATGATGAGTGCCTGATAAAAAAATGCTTTAAAATTGCAGCACGCAGAATCAATCGTTATATAAATATAACGGCTGATTATATATATATATATATATATATGTATATATATGTGTATATATATATATATTGACAGATGGATAACAACTATTCTTTTTTGATAACATTTACCAGGAGAACCAACAGCACCCGGATACACTTGCAGGGATCCAAGGTTAATGATGGTGCTGGGATGCGCTTGCACACCATTTGCAGCTAAGCCAGGCCTTTGAATCTTGGATTGCATATCTCCACTTAGCAGCCACCACCTTTCGATGTGCGCCACTTCTCATTCCAGTGGTTGCTTGCCTTATTTTTACTGCATCTGCGCGCTGATCAGGCTAACACTGATTCTTACCACAGCAGTTTAGCTAGACAAAATGCGACATAGTGCCTTCTCGACATACTTGGGACTGGAGACTTTGTGGCAGTTACAAAAACTTGGCTCGACCCGGCCAGAGTCATACATGATCTGTGAAAAATTTTTTCTGACGATGAAGATTATTATTACCTCACGGAGAACGGTGTGATTTCGAATGTAGCAAGTGAAGGAGGGGGAGGCGCAGACTCTTTGTCGACTGGCTAGGTCACATACATTTGGGGGTGGGTGGAAATAAAAGGGAACAGTGCGCTCTTGGTTCAGGTACCCGGGGCCGAAATACTTGCAAAGTGTTCTTATAGTGGGGATGGAGAAAAGCTCAGATGTTGCTTTGAAGGCAAGATCTGGGGACAGGATGAAGGGGGATGAGAATACAGGTCAGGAGCTCGAAACAAGAACTGGAGGCTGCAGTAAAGAGAAAAAGAAAAGTAAACAAAAAAAGTAAATTAAATCAAACCTGACTCAAAAAATATGAACCTATGAATGAAAGCAAAAAATGTAAAAGAAAATAAATGGCCAACGCACGGGCTGCCCGTGCGAAGATGCGTTTTTTGCAGAGTTCCCCG